TAAATATTATGATGTTTGGCGACTATAAATAATTCGATTTTCAAGTAATGTAAGTAACTCGTTTTTTATTAATGTGTCCTAAATTCTATTTAACAGACACGACTGCAATTTTTTTGTGAAAACAAAAATATTCTCAAAATATTTTATTTCATTCAAAATAGACTAATTACATTAGACGGTAAACATGGTTGCTCTCGTTTTAGTGACATCAAAAAAATACAAACACATAAATCCACATATGACCTAAATAACAACCAATAAATAAAGAATGAACAGTCAAAACATTCACCAATTGTAACGCAGCTCACTGCGATCACGCATGCAGGAACCCCCGCTACCTGTGCCACAGTACAAAAAGTCAACACTTCAAAATTGAAAACTAGGCATGGTACATGGGGTGTTATTCAATCAAATTGTTCACAACGATTGGTGCACTCTACGGCACTTTGGCGTCAAACCCAGCGGAAATCCCGAGCGTTTTATGAAAATATTCATTTTAATTAATCCCCTGGATTAAATGTTTTCATATTGTGTGTTAGACGTGTTTTTGTTAGGGGAATAGACACGTATATAGTTTGCAAAACTCGAATAGATACGGTTGAATAGAGCGTTTGCATGATTAAATTTATTTTCATACAAAACAATGTTTCGTTTGCTGTGCGCAAATGTGCACAAAGAGATATGCTATGTACAGAAACGTGTTTAATTCATTTATATTTTCAGTTTATTGATAATAGTAGTGTTCTAATTTTAAACTCAAATAAAGTTAAAATCAGTATTATATTCTCTTGTAGAATATACGACAGCTTTATCAAATCTGGAAACAAAACTTAGTTTTGCACAAACCGGTTTCACATACGAATATAACCAGACACTTTGGAGATATCTTCGGAACATTTTGAGTTGTCTGCTAGCGAACACTTTTACTTTTCACCTTGAAGTTTTATTTCAAGATCCCAGACAGACTGGAGGAATAAGTTCGCGATCGATACTGTTAATACAAGTTTGATAGTGGGAACGACTATAGAACTAAACGTTTGACTTATTCATTGATTAAGCACCTACTTATGTTTAGTTAAGGTCTAAAATATTAAGTCGATTAAAACCAGTAATTTGAAGTAATTTTGCCAAAGTCTATGTAACTCTATTACGTTAGTATGTAGTCTGAAATTGACCCTATGTTAAATGTATCTGTACTTAGAGGTATATCTTGATCTCCTGACTAGAGAGAATTAACAGGCGACATAATATTGTGCCTTACATAAATGAATGCAGGAGGCACATTTTAAAAATAAAACCCTGCAATACGTTAATCCAGCATATTAATCCCTTATAATTCCAGCATAAGATACGAAATGATACGACACTTTTATCATAATGTACCGACATCAGAGTACCTAGTGCAAGTTTGGTTATGTTAACGCGATCGAAACGGTACCGCGTTTCGCCCTCTGATTGGTTGTTCAAGTTGGAGAATCCAATCAGAGCGCCGAACGTCACAAACGTTTCACGGCGTAAAACAAAGTCACGTTAGGCCCTCATATATAGCATTACGGTATTTTTAAACGATTTTTTTCATTAAGTTCCGTCGAAAATGTCTGTTTGACTTTTGTGAGAGTTGATTGGAATATTTTTCAGTATTCGTGTATTATCAATATTGAAATGATGTCGACATGGAATGTGCGTGTTCATTTTTGTATCGATTGATTATTGAGCAAGATATTCCATGAAATTATTTGAAGATTCTTTATGATATCAATGAATACGATCGTTTACACGGAGTACCTACGATATTTCTAGGTGATATTTGAATTCATTTTTTCTGATTTGTAGTTTCTCTATAGTAAATTATAGTGCATTAAGAGGAATAAGACATGAACAACTGAACTTCCATCTAACCGCTGACAATTATTTCAGGGCTATATTTCACCAGGACACCATGGTGGCGCAACCAGTCGCCGCTTCCAACATAATGCTCTATAGAGAGTCACACACCTGGGTGCTTGGTCTTGAAACCAATCTCAATTTCAATGCAATTTCAATCCAATAAAATATCTATAATGATTCAATATCAACACTATATAATCACAATCGTAGCTGTTAAAATAGCATTTAAAGTACAGAATATAAAGCCAAACTCAATACCATTTAGTTCATTCAATATCCACGCAATATGGATGGAAGGGCCAATTGCGTTGTTGCAACTCAAAGAGTACGAAATTTTACAATATCAATGTCAATCGATCGGAATTGGATTGAACAGTAAGTCTTGGTGTCCTCTTGGTCACGCAACCAGTTTATACATCTTGTTGGTAGCGGCGACTAGTTGCGCCGCCCTGGCGTCCCGGTGAACTCCCCCCCCCCCTCCCTTAGACATCAAGAATAAACTCGAATAAATAATTCCACTTCACAAATAAAAACTGGCGACTATAATAAAGGCATTAAAGTTAAACATTTAATGAGAAAACACTTTAAGTAGAAAGAATAATCCAGAATGATTCCGTTTTCTATTAAAATGTTTGATAAGTCGGTAAGCCGCTTCAAGCGTTACTTTGAACGTGGGATATTTACATCTTAACCATTTAACTTTGTATTTACTTGTACCTTTTAAGGAGTAAATTATTTGTTAGCTATCCGTGTTTTGTTGATAGCTTTGTAATCCAGCTTTGTAGTCTCGAGTATGATTGCCGGGTTGAACAAAATGTTATTGGTTATCGAGAGTTTTTGGAATTTTTTAAGTATTACTTCCTTGCTTGTGATTATTAACTGAACTTTTTGAACTGCGATCTTCAAGTCATCTGCTAAGCATGGAGATCGTAATAGGATTGCAAATCTTCATGTTAAAGGAGGTCCAAAGCCTAATAGTAAATCTTTTTAAAACAATTAAAAAAAGAATGCTCTTTAATATTTTTTTTAAACAAAACAGTATGTAGTCTGTGTTATTTTACCAAGTGTTTATAGATAACCACAACACTGAAAACACTGTCAGTGTTAGACGTGTGGCATGGTTAGATTCATTGCATATTCATGACGTCATTCTGAACAACAAAATGGCTGATGTTACTATTGTCCACGATTTGCGATTCGTTAACTCTGTGTATAACCAATCTATTTAGGTTCGAACGTCAACTATGAAAATTGGAGTAATAACGTCGTATCGGTACGATTTTAGTAACAGTTTTTCAATGAATAGGTATGCCTAACATAAATACCTACTAGTTAAGTCTTGATTATATTAAGTAAAGGGACTACCTCGTTGGTCGAGTGGTCGCAAGTGCGACTGCTGGGCAAGGGGTCTCGAGTTCGATTCCCGGCTCGGGCAAAGTATTAATAGAGTTTAAAAAAATCTCAGTAGTAGCGCAGAGTCTGGAATTGTACCCGGTATATGGCAATAGGCTCACCCCCTATTACATGGGACTCATGACATAAATAGTGAAAAGTGGGTGTTACATTGTACAGTGGCATAATGTACACCTCTGCCTACCCCTTCGGGGATCAAAGGCGTGATGTTATGTATGTATGTATATTAAGTAAAATCTTTGTTCCGACGACAACATGCTATTCACATTAACGTATATATACAAAAAGTCTATATAAAGACATATAAAAAGACTATTGCGAAATACTCAAGTCGGCAAAATAGAAACAAATACCCAATAAGAAGGTACCTTTCGGTGCTCTAAGATCATGTTTTTGGAATAAATATTGTGAGACATACTAAATTAACTAAAAACATCGCCACGACCACGCACGCTGCTCATGTGGAAGAACCCCTCTGGGTTCAAAACTTGTAGAGCTTTTCTTAGTATTTTCACGTGATTAAGTCTAAGATCATGTGAAGATTACTGGTTAGTTAAGCAAGTTACCAGTGCATAATAACATCTCTGCTTTTTTTACAGCCTTTCTAGTGATCATCACCATCAGCTCAACCCGTATATCATTAAGTCCGCCATTGTATATCTACAAGAAGTGTAAATAAAAAATAAAATAAAATATAACCCCAAGCGGTCACCGGTGACCGCTCTCCAGTAACTACATTATAGACCTTATTTCCAATGTTAAGAGACTACTTTTGTATGAACAAATTTAGGGGATGATTTTCACAATTTTCAACGGGATTGGATTCTACGTAGGTACCTATAGAACTTTCCAAAAATCCTATACTTTGATCCATGTGCAGAGAATACACCGACCAATCACAACTTATTGCAATAGCCCATAAATAACAGGAAATTCCAGTCATCGATATTATAATTTTAGTTAAATGCCCTGAACCCGATATATGAAACTGAGAGTATTCTAAATATTTAACGTCCATTTACTTATTTTAGGAATAGAAATTTGGTATTGCTGTTTGTATCTATTTGCAAAATAAATGTAAGCCTGTAGAGGCAATTTGTGAGGGAAATATTTTGTAAAGCAGAATACAGAAATTATACTTAACATATTGCCTATTAGTTGATAGCAACTTATGTGACTACCGAGCAAGGAGGTTTGGATTCCTGGGTATTATTCTTTATTTTATTCTTAAAATAAATCATCAACAGCCTATAACTGCCCACTGCTGAGCAAAAACTCTTCTCACACGGAGAATGTTTGAGCATTAATCACCACGCTTGCTCAATGCGGGTTGGCGATTTCAAACGTATAATTAGAAATTGTAAGCCCATGCAGGTTTCCTCACAATGTTTTCCTTCACCGTATCTAAATAATCTTAAAAAGTACATATAATTCGGAAAAAGTCACATTGGTACTTGCCTTTAATAAGTTTCGAACCCGCACCCTCATGCATGAGAAGCGGGCTTAAACCTCCGGGCCACCACGACCACGTAGGTATCCAAACAACGAACTATAAAAATTAAAGCTATACAGTTAATCTAACGGAACAGTAAAAACTCTTATAAGTACCGTTTGAAAATAGCACAAGTTCTCATCAGGTTTATAACTGAAGTTCAATTAAACCAGTAGACGTTATATGAACTAGCATTGTTTGTTTTTAATTAAACTACGGCCGCCATCTTGTTTTCACGCTCACGTACCTGAAACAATTAAAATTTATTATAAGTAAATATGTTTCATAATAATTATGTAACATGTATTGTAAATATTGTTATAGATTTTATTTTACTGTCTCGTTGCTCGATCGAAGGAACGACTGCATTTACGTTTAAAGAAATCGTAACGAGTAGCCGGCGCTCTGGATTGGTTGCTTCATTGGCGCCGGCCAATCAGAGTGCGCGTACTGGTTCCGAATACTTTAAACGTAAATCAAATTCGTACTAAGGCCTCTGGTGTTCATTACTGGACCGGTTAAAATAAAATATAAGCAATTGCTAGTAAACCAACACAAACTCAAATGAACTATAACGCCAACGCAATCATGGCCGTAGGAAAACAGAGTCATTGTCGTCACTGTCATCTCAATTTCTTTTCACACAAAGAAAGAATGACCATTGGTCACAATGCTTGCTCAAATATGAGATTGATGTCCGATTGGTGGCTTGTTCGTCCGCGAGTCACTTGAGGGGCTAGTAGAATACCAGCGCAAGGCCCTGTCTTGCACATGCTGAACTGGTCCCATTTCACCGCAGATTTGGGACATGATAATGTAGCCATTAGTATATATGAACTGTATGTATACACATGCAGTTATACCTCTATACATGCCACCTGTTTTTAGCGTGAGAAATAAACTTTTTACTTCTACCTTCTTCTTCTTTCTTTCTTAGATTATCAACTTCGAACTTAAATCTAAATTAGTATTATTAATAACTAGTTGCCCGCGACTTTGTTCGCATAGAATAATGACTTCTGACAGAATTCAGGCTTCTGAATTAGTCTTTTTCAAGGGATTTTCTACGATGTCGAATGTCCTCAGAATTGATTCAGTACCTAGTATAGGGCTCCTGCCCCGTAGATGATAGCGTGATAATATGTAGCCTATATGTTGATCCGACTTGTTACTAATATTCATGCAAAATTTGAAGTAAATCCATGCAGTGATTTTTGAAGATCATCCCGGACAGACATACAGACAAACAGACAAAAATTCTCAAAACCATATTTTTGGCTTCAGTATCGATTGTAGATCATGCACCAAGTATTCTTTTTAAAAAATATTCAATGTACAGTTTTGACTTTTCTACGATTTTATTATATGTATATAGAAGAATAGATAAGTTAAGTCTCAGACCAAGTTTCCTCACGTTGTGTTCTTTCACCACACTACAATGTTAACGGTCTAAATAAACATAGGAAGCAAAATTTCAATATTGTCACCCAGTTATCGCAATCACATGCAGCTGCAGAAAACATGGAGTGAGTGGCACTAGGCGAATTCATTTACAGTCAGCAAGACCTGTAAATCTTCTTGGCGGGGCATGCTGCCGTCGTCACTTACCGCACGGTTGGGCCACGAGAAGGGCGGACGAGGTAATGAAACAAGTTCGTATACTTGAATTGAATGATACCTGTATTCTCCTTGAAAAAGGCGATACGAAACTACTGGAGGAGACCTAGGTTATTACAATCATGATTACTCTCAAAATAATTTTCAATAGGTAGGAAGTCGTCCTTGGTTCGTTCGTCCTTTGGTCCTTGGCACAGTTCACATTGGTCATAATTCTCCAAGGACTTGCCTACGTAATGGAAAGAATAGATAATATTTTACATTTGTTACAAAATATCGTTGATACCCTTGAACTATTGGTGTTAACGATCTTCGAATGAATAAAAAATATTATGTATGTAGTGTGATACGCGGTAAATACGGTAACAATTAAAACTTCAGAAAATAGAGGGAGATACTGGCCGCATGATCGTTCTGTCTCGCTCATACTCGTTCTTTTTTATTTGTCTGAATGCAGAACACTATCGCATAGGAAATTGTCAATTCATTTTCCATTTATATTTCTATGGTCACGTAATTTGTAAAGTTAATTCATCAGAATCAGAATCAGAATCAGAATAACATTTATTTGCCTACTTTGTGTCTTACAAATTGTCTCTGTGGCCGGTGGGCCATACAGGGGTGAGTCAGCTAACTTATGTCCTAATGGATCTGTGTTTGCTTTGTTCTATTAATTCGTAATATGCGACGCTAAGTAGGCATATTACGTGTTTTATTTACGCTGTGTAGTTTATTAAATATGTATATTATAGGAACATAATATTTCTTGCTATAATTATTTTATTTTAAGGGGACGCGGGGCTTTTGTTTTGTCTGTAGGCCAACGCTTGTAACCTTTTTTATAAGAGTCGAACAGTATTTCTCCGATTCTGTGATTAACCCTGAGAGGGTTAAAATCCCCATGAGCATGATAGGCATCTTCAGTGGATTCAAGGTCTTCTATTTCTAATTTTGAGATATTTTCCAACATTTTGGAGTTAAGGTCCTGGGCGCGTAGGTGCCAAGCTTCTATGTCAGCCATCTCCCAGATCAGTTCCGTAGGTGTTCGTCTTGGAAGTTGTGCGGCATTTTTCAGTGCCATTCTGTATTGACGTTCGATTTTGGTGAGGTTGGATTCGCTGTATCTTGAGAGTAGTTGTACAACTCCGTAGTCCATAAGTGGTAGAAGGCAAGCCTGAATGATTGTCAGTTTTGTTTCCAGTTTTGTCTTCGCATTATATCCTATAATTGGACCGAGGGCTCCTCTGACTTGTTTTAATCTGGTAACAACCTTTCAGTGTGCTGATTCATCTTCATGTGTTTGTCAAAGATGACACCGAGATATTTGATCTGCTTTTGGTAGTGTAATATCTGTTGTTTCAGTTTCACCGTTGGTCTATATTTTTCTTCTTTGAGAACATGATGCATTCTGTTTTTTCAATATTACACTTTAACCCCCATCTCGTATAATAGTCAACGATGGCCTCAGCTGCCCATTCGGCACGGATTGTCGCGTGTTCTGGGTTCGGGGCTCTGTTAAGTATACAGAGATCATCAGCATACTGTGAGAGCTTGAGGCCTTTGATGTGATCTTGTATATTCCAAACATCATGAACGTACAGATTAAAGATTATCGGGCCGAGTATTGAGCCTTGGGGCACGCCGTGGGGAACCGGTTTATCTTTGGTCGTCGTAGTTCTGAATCTACCTCTCAAGTTTCTACCTTCGAGATAGTTTTCAATTATTTTAATGATATTGTTAGGAACGTCTTGACTCTGAAGTTTTTTGATCAGGCCCTTGTGGTTTATAGAGTCGAAGGCTTTCGATAGGTCCGTGGATATCATAGAGACACTGTCTCCTGTGGCCAGTGCGTCGGTGATTATTTTGCCTGTCCGTAGAATTTGGGTTGCTGTACCTCTTGCTCTTGTGAAGCCGTGCTGGAACGTTGGTTGCAGCTGGATGACCGTTGCCGTAAGTCTGCTCTGGATCAGTCGCTCGCACAGCTTGCCCATGATATTTAGCAATGTGATTGGGCGGTAAGATGACGCCTGGCGGTGATCTTTCCCAGCCTTGTGGATGAATATGCACACACCAATTTTCCATCGTTTTGGGAAGTAGCCAGTTGATAGAACAAAGTTCACAAGAGGTACAAATGCCTCAACGAACACTTCTCCCCCAAGTTTAAGGGCGTCCGCTTTTATTCCATCTGGGCCTGGAGCCTTTCTGTTTTTAAATCTCCGCAGGGCGAGTTGCACTTCTTTTTCTGATGCTAGGTCTAGTGGCTGAAAAGGTGTTGTTTTTTCGGTCCCTTCATCGTCTTTAGCTATTTTAGCCTCTTTGACTATGGCAGTGTCGGTGAGTTTGTCTATTATATCTATTTCTGCACTACAACCCATGATGTTTGGTAGTTTGGCTATAGGTTTCTTCATGTTTCGTTGGATGCGCCACATTTGTGATCGATTGTCTCGAGGATCCTTGAGTTTGTCTTGCCACCCTTTTTCGATGTATTCTTTCAGATCGTTTTCAACTTCTCTCTTGACGCGGTTGTAAAGAGTGCGTGTTTCGCGTTGGATTTCAGGACTGCAGTATCTCGCTTGCCATGCAGTTTGTTTCAGTTTGTTTCTGATGTCAATCCTGTCGTTTATATATTTTGGAAGACGTTCCTGTCTTGTTGTATTTTTCAGGGGAGCATGAGTGTCAAGAGCAGTGACGATGGCATTTTCCATTGTTTCGACATACTTCTCGCAATCCTCCTCTGTTGTGATATCTCTGTTAAGGTGGCAGAAATTTTCCCACATTGTCTGCTGGTACGCTGCTGTGATCTTTTCGTCCACATAGATTTTCTTTGTATTACGGGATAGGTGTTCTTCTCTATTATGTTCTACTTTCACCGTTAACAACCAGGGGAGGTGATCTGAGCCAACGTTCTTTATGTGTTTGGCCTGAGCCTCTAACTGTTGGTGTGTTACTATTGCCAGATCCAGGATCGTGTTACCTGGGCTGAACGGTCTGGACGGTGCATTAGCATGTATAAGTGAGCAAAGCCCGCTTCTCACTGCCCTTTTTACAATGTTACCGAGGGTGGAATTCCTGCTATGACCCAGGGTTTTCATTTGTAAATTCATGTCACCGACGATAATAGACGGCTCATCGGCTAGTGTCTCTTCTAATTCTTCCTTGGCATGGTGTTGGTTTGGAATTTGTACATATATTCCTTTGATTTTGATATATTGTCCAGTAGCGTGGTTGGTGAAAAGTTTAATGCCGACGCCTTCTATCTTCTTGTTTTCGTCGTGCCAGCCTGGGGTAACTTCTGTTTCTGCCCACCTTAGTCCCCTTTGTACATACATGGCAGTGGCTAAGTGTTTTTCCAATGTATGGGTGAGTTTATCGTATCCTTTTATATTATATGGTTGCGTGTCAAAGTCGATCTTGCACTCATTCAATATAATTATAGCCGGTCTATATTTTTCGACAAGTGCTTTTATTTCTTTGAATTTATTTCGCAATCCTTGTGTATTCAGGTGCAAAATTTTGAGATTCTGTATTATTTTACTGTCGTGGTCAGACATTGATATTGATATGCGAGTGTATTTTATTTATAGTGTCCATTAACATTATCAATGTCTGTTGCATTTGTGTCTGCATTTTAAATAGACCCTCCATTGTAAGACTGCTAGTTGTAGGTGGTTCTTGTTCGGTTTGAGGTTGTGCTGATTCTTTTTGTTTCATAATTGGAAACTGCCGTGTATTTAAGACCTCTGCGTATTTTAAACCTTGCCTTACCACTGAGCGTTTAATTCTCTCCTCTTTCTTTGTTTGTTTAGCCTCTGCTTGTTCAATTTGCCTGGCTATAATTTTTTTGAATACAGGGCAGCTTGCGTTGTTCGCTCCGTGGTCTTCTTCTTTACAATTTCTGCAGACTTTCGTTGTAGTGCCCTCCGGAGTAGTAATAATGATCTGTGGTTCCTCTTGTTTGCCGTAGCATGATTGTTTCGAGTGATCAAAAGCATAGCACTTCTTACACTGTATAATGTGCTTCGGATTTTCTCTAAATGGTTCAACCTTGATGGAGGGGGCACAAAAGAATTTTCTTTCTGAGCGTTTAAAATTCTCCATGATATCTCTCGATTTGTGTGTACCATCAAAAAGGAGGAGATGTATTTTCCCTGCTCTTCCAAGTGGTTTGATTGCTTTTGGTTTGATACCGATGCAATCTGCTATCTCATCAGCTATAGCGTCGGTGGATTCTCCGTAAGTTTCGTTTTTGAGCACAATCTTGGTAGCAGGTTGCCTGTCTGCTTTTGGTTTTGGTGCAATAACTCTGGTAAACCCGCCAGATTCAATCTCCGTTAGCAAGTTCACGCGTGCTGCCATATTATTCGGACTAATTTTTATTTGGCCTCTCATAACGTTCATCGTTGAGCTGTTCTTGGCTACTGTTTCTCTGATTTTCTTTAGTGTGTTTTGGTTCTTAATTGCGTTTTCATCCCTGATGATAATATTGGGAATATGGGCGTTTTTCTGTTAATTCATATCGGATATTTTGTTCATCAATTTTAAAGTCACAGAATCTAAAAACCACACGAAGGTGTATTATACAACTCTATTGAAAAGAGGTTAACCACATCAATTATACAGTTCATTAATTCCGTAAGTATTAATTACACAAATTGTAATTAATTATGGTCATCTGATACCAATGTGCATGTTCATGTCAATATGTAGCTTTAAAAAGATTTTTTGTTAATTTTGACTGTTGAGTGTTGATAATTTTGGGATACAAATATTGAAGAACACACCCGAACTAAATTCACCGTGTACTGAAACTATTAAATCACAAATGTATTGTTTTATTAACTGTGCTTGCACAGTGTGGTGCTTCAAGAGTGTGCGAGAGCCATGCTTCGCCACAAATAAGCTGGCTCGACCGGAGTGGTACCACGGCCCCACAGAAAACCGACAACGCGAAACAATATGAAAGGGTCAGGGTCTGCAGTATCCTCCCTCCTCTTCGCCAATGCCTCCAATCCCTGAATCCCAAGAATTCTCGAATTCCACACCCCCAAAAGGCTGGTAACGCTCTTGTAACGCCTCTGGTGTTCCAGGTATCCATGGGCGACGCCGATTGCTTACCATCAGGTGATCGGTCTGCTCGTTTACCGGCTTATCCCATTAAAAAATGACAGTACGTAAAAAACTTATTAGATCCGCTCTTTCAGCGGCTCCATCCAAATTGTTTATATCCTTGCCGCTGCGAGTTCTTGCAATCTAAAATTTATGTGCGACGACAGTTCCTATTTCAATGTCTTAAGATCTAGAATCGTATGTCACCTGCAAGGCTGCAGCTTTGTTTACTAATGTCTGCACTGAATTAGCGTAGAGTTCAGTTGGCGAATTTCTGAGTGGTTATTCATGAATGTAGCAGTAAGCGGAAAAGCGTGGTAAATCGTTGGGAACGCACCAAATAATGAGGAAAGTTTCGAGCCATTGTTAATGCTTATAAGTGCTCGAATTGTGCTATGTTCGAGCGGAGTGATTAACGAAATTCTGACGATGTTTAAATGTTGCATATTTATGAAGTTTGTTGTTTCACTCAGTTGGGATTTCTGGCTGCAGTTTTGCTTACAGCCTCAGCTATTTATACAGCGGTCAGTGCGGTAATATTTTCATGCAGAAATTACATCTGATCGGTAGAAAATCCCCTTATTACTGTTCAATGAAAATCTTCAACGCATTTCAGAATTTAAAACCCACAAGTTAAGTCCTTGTTCATTCCTCCATTTACAGGAAAGGCGCACGGACCGAGCCAGAGAAATTAGCTACTAAATGGTACGCACATCACTATTCCTCCTAATCAGTAAGTTAAGACATAAACAATATTACATGAATGTTGAAGGTCATGTTCGCAAACGAAGCCTTATAACAAGCCACAAAGATTCCACCACAAACTTTTGGGTAAACCTCTAATTACAAGTTGAAACACGATTCCCTTATCTAATCACAGAAGACCCCTAATTGAAATTTATTTAATGAAACCACTGCTAATTCCAATGTTTAAAAATTCATTCAATTCCGAAGAGATTGTGTGAAAGTTTATTAATTAGGTTAAATAACATAGTAAGGTTTGTTACTCTTCGACTGATTAGCTATCGCATTTGGTATGCTATATAGCATATTAAGTTTGCGTTACTTTATCCAATACTTCTACATAAATCTAGATTCTTAGCACTAGACAATTCCAGACGTCATTCAAGTACGGAGTATTCCCGTTTAAGAGCACCTATTTCTTAGATACCTTTACATTGAGCACCAACGATATTCACTCAATTCAATTTTTATAATAACTATCGTGAGACATACTTAAGTAACCAAAAATAACGCTTTACTCACGTAAATACACTGAGAGGTGGCGTGACGTTACCGCGACCGCGCACGCTGCTCATGAGGATGAGTCCCTCTGTGGCTCGAAACTAGTAGAGCTTTTCTCAGCTTATTCACGTGTGCGAACCGTCATTTTTAGTTAATATTCAAACCAATATTTATTTGATATTCAAACCATTTTTCGTTGATATCAAATGGTGATCAAACGGAAATATTCCCAAGTACGACACATTATATACTTGTTTGTTTGTTATGATAAGACACAAACACCAAACACCGCCATGACTATGAATGTCAGATGTTTGTTAATAAGATATTTTCGACAATTTCTTATTAATAAGCGAAGAACACACAAGTAAACATTCTTTAAAAATGTTCGTGCGGACCTCACAAGTACGTTCTAAATAACTTCGATACTGGACCCACGATGAACAAATTAATCTTATTTCTTCGTCAAAAGTTTTGATTAAATATTAATATACTATCAGTGTACTTATTCCTATATTTCTTTTTAATACGTTACCCGTCTGACCAAAACTTTCATGTTAACTTAAAATTAGTTTGGAATTAGGTTCCTTTCAATGGTCAGGTAGAGTTTCTCTAAGGTGAAGAAAAAATGAGAATGGAGTGAGTATACTCCACTATACAATGGAGTATACTCCATTGACATATTAGGATATATCGATTAAATTTTTACTAGAACTTTATATGTGGTCAACCTATATGCTAATAATACTGAATGTTTCTAGTAGCATTGAGCAAGCGTAGTGATTAATGCTCAATTCTCCAACCTTCTTATTGCGAGAAGAGGCAACAGTGGCCACTTATAGGCTTTTGGTGTGATGTGTAGTATGTAATATAATTTAATAATGTACAGAAAGTAAGTATTTAGATAAAAAAATAACCTGTAACAGTAATATCAAAAGACTTTTCACAACAAAATTTACAATGGATTTGACTGCACGGTTGATGCTGTGGCTGGGCGACTGGCTGCCGCGCAACGTGTCGCGGGTTCGATTCCCGCACGGAATAACTATTTGTGTGATCCACAGATTGTTTTTCCGAGTCTGGGTGTGATGTGTAAGTACACCCACGACACACGAGAAAAACCATGCGGGGCAAAAAAAAACCTCTGACAAACTAATTTGTTTCATCTTACAATTTCATAGCAACGTTTGTATCAACACCAAAGTAATACCCATTACAATATTCTAAAAAATCCTCAACTTAAATTACGAAGTAATTACTTTTATCTATCTACCTTTTCAAAACTTAATTGATAAAAACGAAAAATGTAAGAACATCTTCTTTAAGTAACAATTAATGAGGAATTAAAAAGTTGCCAAGTGAAAAATTAGTCTTTGGATTAGTGAATTAAAACTATATAATGAAAACCTTAAATTACTTCTTAAATATTAAAATAAACGATCTCCGGCCACTGTAAGCGCGGACCAGAACCAGATCCGAGCGTATGGTGCGTAGCATACCGCGCGCGCCTCAAAGAGCCATCAGACCACCACGGATGGGGTCCAATAGGGCTGATGTCCGATAAAGAGTCGCGGAGAACCTAACGGGTTACAGGGGCTCCGGCCGTAGTGCAGTAGAAGGAACGGGGTGGTTTTTAATCAGTAAGAGTCTGACACACCCTCCGATAATTCGATGATTTTCACCCCTTAAAAAAATAAGAAGTCTTATTTTAATTTTAATCTTCATGTCTAAAATACTAAAAAACTCACAGGTACTAAATATGCAATGATAAAGACAAGTACGAAATTATTACAAAAAAATATTCAACTGTTTAAAATTCGGCTCTTAAAAATTATTTCAATGTCTAGTCCTTTCTTGTTTCTTAAGTAACCAGATATTTTCTAAATGAAAAAAAAACAACAAATTGGTGTCTGAGAAGTTGACATCTGTCGCATTAACCTTCGGATTGGGGAGAAGGGGGCAAGGTGTCAGTCTTATTTTTCGAAGTTTCATTACAACGCTTTCATATTGGACAAGTTAGGGGAGGTTAAACCATAAATATCTACTGTAGATGGTCCAGTCAATAAATAAATAGATCACAATAGATAGACTGCCTCGTTGGCCGAGTGCGACTGCCGGGTATGGGGTCTCGGGTTCCTGGGTCAGGCAAAGTATTACAGGATTTCTTTACAAAAGATCTCAGTTGTAGTGTAGCACGGAGTCTAGAATTATGCCCAGTATATGGCAATAGGCTCACCCCCTGTCTCCTGCAGTAATTCACCGAGGGAAGTGGAAACTATCATTTTTTTTCTCCTCTTATAATATCTTCTGATTCACTTCGTTGCGGAAACCTAGACAGTTACTCATGTCCTGGGACGCGCCAGACTTCAGTGTTTTCATGGTTGTATCTACTGTAGATCCTGGCTTACAGGATTTGCAGCTGTTTTGAGAGGTTGCGGCGGGCTTGCCCCATTAAAAAAAAAAGGCTCACTTCCTATTACATGGGACTCATAACATAAACAATGAAAAGTGAGTGTTATATTGTACAGTGGCATTAAGTGCCGTTATGTGCACTTCAGCCTACGCCTTCGGGGATAAAACACGTAATGTTATGTAATAGATAACTTTGATTCTATGAATCGTCCAATATTAAACAAAAAACATAATTAATTTTTACACATTTTCACTCTGCTCAAAGTGTAATATCTTAGAAAGCATACTTTTACAAGTATGACACAAAATTATCCAAACCTTTCTATTCCAACACAATTTTTGTAGTTGTTTTTTTAAGAGATTTACTTCCTCAGGAAGACCGATTGCCAGAAACGAAGTCACAAGGTCAGGTCAGGCGGCGCCAGCCTTCTGTATCATCTATATTGTGGTGGAACTTTCGAGAATGGTTGGCAGGCAATGTTTCATAGCTAACGGCATCCGGAATATGAAAAGTTTTCGAGTGATTGCAGCTTGATTGGACAGAGGACGGTCGTAACTATAAATGTTAGATTTAGAATTGCTTTTAGAATTTCGTGTTTTGCTTTTCGTCAGTTTTAAATAAACTGACAGTTTTA